TTACCTGATTAAAGACTGTGGTATTTACTAGATATCTAGTGTTCCTGATGCAGCATTTATTCTGGGCTACATTTTCTTTGCATTGGAATTTTACTCAACTCAGTTGGCAAAGAGATGTGCAGTAATGTGATCATTTTGTAGTTTTGGCACTTCAAAATCACATTTATTTTCCACTCATTTTCATTTAGAAAACCTTTTAGTCAAAACAGAGTTACTGATCTTACACATCAGTTCCTTAAGCTTAAGAATTTGATGAAGATTTTTTTATTTTTTGTTTTTGGTTGTTGGATACAAGAGAGATTATGGGCCGGTGAATTAATTTATTGTGCCTCCATGACTATGGGCTGTTTTGTATCCAGTGAATTCTTATGGTCAATTGGCTTCATCTGGTTTAGATCTCTGTTGAAACCTTCTGAAAGTCATGTTTAAGCCTTTGTTTTTGTTGTGTGGAGTTAATCTGCTGATTTCTGGAACAAAATGTCTGGTTTTCAGTGCTGGCAGGGTTAATGATTCTTGACCCTCAAAGTAATGAGAAATTGTGGTGAATAAGTGTCCCATCCAAGAAGAGTTGCAATAATCTCAGTTGCTTCATGTTAAAGAAAGTAGAATAGGCACCAGTAGAGTGGGGCTCTTGGCTTGTTTACAATTAATCATTTTATTTAAAAAAAGAAAAGATAGAGAGCAGCAACTATTATTAATATGGATCGAATTATCTTTGAATGGAATATTAATCATATTGTTCTGATATTTGTATCATAGATCTGCCAAATGAAAGCATCACAACTGGACAGCACAATACTGGCAAGAACATGGACCCATCTTGGTAGAGGAACCCTGACAATTCAACCTGGAAGCAAGTACAAGATTAGTTATCATTTCCTTAAATGCTAGATTTATTTCAGGCCCAGCCCGGGAGGTCATTGAATGGGGGTGCAGCTGGCCCGGGGTTTTCCTCCTAGGAGCAAGTGGATGTACAGGGAGGTTTTTCACCCAGTTGTTGTTCCACCACCCCCATTCATTAAGCTCTTTTTGGTCTAGTTCATATTAATGGGGAAGTGTGTGTGCCACAGTTGTTCAAACAAGTGCATTTAGGGTCTCAGGTTCCAGGGCTTAGGTTTTTGGGTCTCAGTTTTCATTGAATGTCAAGTCTTAGAGCCTAGGTTTCTAGGTCATAGAATTTTTGGGTCCTGGGTTTTTTTGGTGGTAAGTTTTTGGGTCTTAGGTTATTTTAGGTTTGGGTTTAATGGACCTAGACTTTTATTGAATGTCCACTCTTAGAGCTTGGGTTCTGGGTCATAGGATTTTCGGGTTCTGGGTTTTTCAGGTCTTGGTAAGTTTTTGGTTCTTAGGTTTCTTGGGGTTAAGGTTTAATGGGCTTAGGTCTGGGTCTCCCTTTTTATTGAATCCCTCTGGTCTTTTAGCTTAGTCTCTCTGGGTCATGGGATATTTGGGTCCTGGGTTTTTGGGGTGGTGGGTTTTTGAGTCTTAGATCTCTTTGGATTCAGGTTCAATGGGCTTAAGTTTATGGGTCTTTTTTTATATATCTCCAGTCTTTTAGCTCAGTAGATTTCTGTCTCACTGGATTTTCTGGTCTCAAGTTATTTAGTCATAAATACTTTCAGTCTTACATTTTTCAGGTTTCTGATCGATTGGGGTTCCTAGAGTTTTTGGCTCTAAAGTTTTAAGGGTTTGAGGTTCATGGGACTCTGGCTTTTTGGTTCTGGGTTTCTGTGGTCTTGGGCTTTTCAGCCCTTTGGTATTTATGGGTCTTTAGGGTCAGGCTTTTTGGGTCTTAGGATTTTTCAGTCTTCAGTCCCGAAGGTTCTAAGGTCTTTTGGGTCAGGCATTTTGGGTCTTAGGATTTTTCAGTCTTCAGTCCCTTAGGTTCTAAGGTCTTTAGGGTCAGGCTTTTTGGGTCTTAGGATTTTTCAGTCTCCAGTCCCTAAGGTTCTAAGGTCTTTTGGGTCAGGCTTTTTGGGTCTTAGGATTTTTCAGTCTTCATTCCCTAAGGTTCTAAGGTCTTTAGGGTCAGGCTTTTTGGGTCTTAGGATTTTTAA